TTCCTTGCGATCTTGCTACGGCACGAAAAGTGCAAAAACGCATAATCGCGCCGGCCCGCCTGGTGCATTCCAGCCTGGGTTCATTTCGAGACCTACAAAAGCTATAGGGCTGAAACTTTGGGGACATAATCTACATGCAAGTACGGGCTCCCATCCCCGAAATGGGCGGTCTTACCCGCGTAAGAGCCCGCCAAAATTTTTTTCTGGTAAATTGATAACTCGCGAACCAGAAAAGCTAGAAAGCTGAAATTTTATGGGAATGTTCCGCGTCCAAGTAGGTACTAATGGGCCCAAACCCAACTCCCGGGTAAGCGTGGCACCCGCGTACAGGACGCCAAAATTTTTCCCGCGTAAATTGATAACTCGGAATTCTGAGATGCTAGAAAGCTGAAATTTTGAGGGAATATTCCCCGTCCAAGTATATATTACCGAGCTCAAACCCAACCCCCGGGTAAGCGTGGTACCCGCGTACGGACCCGTCAAAATTTTTTACGAGTAAACTGCTAGCTCGCGAACCAGAAAAGCTAGAAAGCTGAAATTTTAAGGGAATGTTCCCCGTCCAAGCAGGTACTAATGAGCTCAAACTCAACCCGTGGGTAAGCGTGGTACCTGCGTACGGGCCTGCCAAAGTTTCTCCCGGGCAAGTTCATAACTCGGGGATTTGAGATTCTACAAGACGGTAACATTAAGAGGGTGTTTCTCGTCCACATTAGTCTCAAAGAGATCAAACCCAGCCCTCTGTCATGCGTGGCACCTATGCACGGGTTCACCAAAGTTTTTCTCGGATAAGCTCATAACTCGTGAACCTGTAAAGCTAAGAGACTGTAGTTTTAGGAGGATGTTCCCCGTCCAAGTAAGTCTCAATGAGCTCAAACCCAGACATCGGGTATGCGTGGTACCCGAGTGCGGGCTTGTTAAAAATTTTTTCCAGTAAATTGCTAACTCAGAAGCCAGAAAAGCTAGAAAGCTGAAATTTTAAGGGGGTGTTTCCTGCCAGTTTTGGCGACCAGTCTTAATTTCCTTAGCTAGAAGGATCTGCCGAAAAAACCGATGCCGGTAGCAACAAAAACTGCGGGGAACTATGCAAAAAACGCATCATTACACGGATAGCCCGTGCGTTGGGCAATTATATTAAAACTGTATAACAAGCAGCAACTCAGCCCTCCCCCCCCCCCCCCCTTCCCTCCTCCCCCACCCCTCCCCTAGTTAGTCGGAATCAATCAATCGTCCCTCCCATTCCTCACGTAGCAAAGCAGTTACTTAACCAGCAGCACGTCCCCTTCCTCGCCCATTACGATGAGCCAGCAACACCTCCTCTTCCCCCTCTCCACCCCACTCCCAACAAAAAACGAAGGAAAAAGCATCCCCCGGAAATAATGCAGAAGCGTCTCACCACGACCAAACCCCCACCCCTCCAAAAAAAACAACCAGCAATGCCTCTCTCCTCTCCCCTCTGAAGTTGGAATCAATCAACCGTCCCTTCCTTTCTCAGGCAGCAATGCAATTATTTAACCAACAGCACGCTCCCTCCCCACACAAGATGAACCCCACTTTTCCCTCCTCACCCCACTCCTCACAGAAAAAAAACGCCCCATCCCTGACAACGCACAAGCAGTCCACCAACTCCAACTACCAGAAACAATCACTATAAACCAACTTCCTCCCCTGGTCCCCAGAACTCGCACTCTGCTGCCGATCATCGACAGCAGAGGATGCAATGAAATAACCGTGCCACCACAGGATAGGCGGTTGTTGTCGTGAGATTCGGAGCTCCATCCTTGCCCCACGCTGCACGACGGTTACACGAGAGATCGGGTTACGTTGCTCTGGCCATTACTTGAACTCGGTGAGACGGTGGCTCATCAGTACAAGTAATCTATGCCAAATGTTCAAGTACTGCATCCAGAAACGGTCGTTTCTTATATAAGTGGGCGGACACCGCTAGGAACTGTGCATTACTCGGGCATTACACATGCGACACAGGGTGTTTACTTGCATCAGCTGCCGTTAAACGAACTTTGTTGACTTGTAATCTGATTTATT